CAGCACTTTGGGAGGCCAAGGCAGGCAAATCATGAGGTCAGGAGATCAAGATCATTCGGCCAACATGGTGAAACACCGTCTCTAGTAAAAATACAAAAAATTAGCTGGGCATGGTGGTGGGTGCCTGTAGTCCCAGTGACTCGGGAGGCTGAGGCAGGAGAATTGCTTGGACCAGGGAGGCGGAGGTTGCAGTGAGTCAAGATCGTGTCACTGCACTCCAGCCTGGGCGACAGAGTGAAACCCTGTCTAACACACACACATACACACTCACACACACAAAAGGCAGGAGAGAGAAGATCACTTGTGCAAAACATTGAGCAGTCAAATACAGGAACTCCACCAAAGTAATGAATGAAAAAGTCTGGGGTGTGTTTTTTCCATTTCAGAATTGTATTTATTTCTCAATGGCAAGAGTTTTCACTGTTATAAATTTGTTGTGATTGGCTCTCACTAGCAATGACCAATAACTGAATAAATAATTGTCAAAAACAAAGTTACAGCAGAAGATTTAGTTTTAAAGTTGTTTTTTCTTTTTTCTGTTTTTCTTTTTTATTTTTGAGACAGAGTCTTGCCCTGTTGGCTAGGCTGGAGTGCAGTCATGCCATCTCAGCTCACTGCAACCTCCACCTCCCAGGTTCAAGCAATTCCACTACCTGCCTCAGCCTCTGGAGTAGCTGGGGCTACAGGCATGAGCCACTATGCCTGGCTAATTTTCATATTTTTAGTAGAGACAGGGTTTGGCCATGTTGGCCAATCTGGTCTTGAACTCCTGGTCTCAAGTAGTTCACTCGCCTCGGCCTCTCAAAGTGATTGTGATTGGCTCTCACTAGCAATGAGCAATAACTAAATGAAATAAATAATTGTCAAAAACAGAATTACAGCAGAAGATTTAGTTTTAAAGTTGTTTTTACAGGCATGAGCCACAGAGCCCAGCCATTAAGATCTTAATTGACTTCATTTGCAATTCTTGAACTGGGCTTCATTCCATAAAATAGAATAAATGGCAGTGGCTTACCCCTGTAATCCCAGCACTTTGGGAGGCCAAGGCGGGTGGATCACGAGGTCAGGAGATCAAGATCATTCGGCCAACATGGTGAAACACCGTCTCTAGTAAAAATACAAAAAATTAGCTGGGCATGGTGGTTGATGCCTGTAATCCCAGCACTTTGGGAGGCTGAGGTGGGAGGATCATTTGAACCCAGGAGTTCTAGACCAGCCTCTGCAACACGGGAAGACCCCTGTCTCTACCAAAAACAAAAAGTGAGCTGGCCATGGTTGTCATGCCTGTGGTGCAAGTTACCTCTGGTCCCATCTACTCTGGAGGCTGAGGCAGGAGGATCGACTTGAGCCCAGGAGGCAGAGGCTGCAGCGGGCTGTGATGGAGACACTGCACTCCAGCCTGAGTGACAGAGTAAGACAGTAAAAAAAAAAAAAAAAATTCCAATGAGCACAGCAGGGGAGGTTGGTTTTGTTGACAGAGAAGGGCTGAAAAAAGCAGAAGCAAAGAACAAAAAGCAGATTGGTTATTTCAGAGTTACTTTCCTTGAAAGGTGGGAACAGGGAAACAGAACAATAGGGAAAAAACTGATTGTTTAGCATCTGGTTCCTTTAGGTTACTTTTTGTTGTAAGGATTAAAGGTAGAGGAAATTTCATTATTATGCTAAGTAAAACTGGCCTGTTTGGGAAATTTGGCTATTACCTCTCTCCTGATTTCTCAGGTCAGACAACAACTCAGTTTCAGTTTGATGAGCTGGAACTTCAGTATGAGAGACTCCATTTTGCTATTTGGTCTGGTCTGTTGACCTAGTACAGGAGCTCAGTCAAAAACAAAATTATATGAATGCCTCATATAATTTTTACTTAACAATACTGTATCTACAAATATATTTTAAAATATATGTATTGCTATATATTAAAAATACTGTATATAGGCCGGGTACAGTGGCTCATGCTTGTAATCCCAACACTGTGGGAATTCAAGGCGGACAAATTGCTTGAGTTCAGGAATTCAAGTACAACCTGGGCAACGTGGAGAAACCCCACCTCTACTAAAAATAGAAAAATTAGCCTGGCATGGTGGTGTGTGCCTGTAGTCCCAGTTACTCAGGAGGCTAGGTGGGAGGATCACCTGAGCCTGGGGTGCGGAGGTTCCGTGAGCTAACATCGTACCATACCACTGCATTCTAGCTGGGGCCACAGAGTGAGACCCTGCCTCAAAACAAAACCAAAACCAAAACCATATATATACACATACAGATACATATATATACACATATATATATATATGGATACATAATACACCCACACACATATATATCCATACACAGATACATATATACCGCTGCTTTCTCTCCCCATATCTTCAGTGATTTAAAGCAAAACCTCAGAGGAAAGATGATTGCATTGTTAGAAACTTCTGCTTTAAAAATGAGAACCAGAGCTAAGGTAGCATACTCCGGTCACTCTGCCGGGGGTATGGAAGCGGGAGCTTGAGTGGCGGAGTCCATGTGTGCATCTATCCATCTATCTATCTATCTATCTATCTATCTATCTATCTATCTATCTATCTATCATCTATCTATCTATCTGTATAGCATGAAAAACACAGGCCAGCATTAGCAGTTGGTTTCAGATGGATTCCAGACAGGCTGTGAATGGACCAAAAAGGAAGCTGTGGCCATGGGGTAGGAAGTGCCCTGTTGAGGCCCTTGCTCTGCTGGGTCTGCTTTCTGAGCTTAAAACCCAATGCGTCTATATGCTGGTGTAATAGCAGGAGGAATCTTTTTGCAGAAGTCCCTTTGCATGATGAGGAGAAACCAGGGACTTTTCCAATATTTTCTACATATTCTATGCAAGGTGTTACAATTACCATTCTTAGAAAGATCTGTGTCCACTTTCATTGTCTCCATCGCCAGGTGCCTCCTGGGGTGGAGAAAAATAGGGAACTGTGCCTCTGATCGGGGATGTTAGATCTGCTGAGGGGTGCTTGGGTTGGAGGTTTGTAAGTGGAATTGAGCTTTAGGGTATAAATGACCAAAGTTGTCATCTTTCTAAGTAAGACCCACTTTAGGGGTTACAGCTAAGGTTGGAGGTAGAGGAAGTAGTTGGCAACTTGCCTTGAAATCTAGAGGTTCATGATCTGGTGACATGGACTCAGCCACTCCAGCTCCCGCTTCCACACCATGGGCAGAGTGACCAGAGTATGCTACCTCATCTCTGGTTCTCATTTTTAAAGCAGAAGTTTCTAATGGCGCAATCCTCTTTCCTCTGAGGTTTTGCTTTAAACCATTTAAGATATGGGGAGTGAAAGCAGCAGGGGCTTTTTGATGTGGTCATTAACGCCAGTCAGAAGTAGGTGTTTAATCAGAAGGCTCAAGACAGATGGGGCACTGGGCGTAGCGACTCACACCTGTAATCCCAGCACTTTGGGAGGCCAGGGTGGGCAGGTCACCTGAGTTCACGAGTTCGAGACCAGCCTGCTCAACATGGCGAAACTCTGACTCTACTGAAAATACAAAAATTAGCCGAGGGTAGTGGTGCGTGCTTGTAGTTCCAGCTACTTGGGTGGCCGAGGTAGGAGAATTTCTTGAACCTAGGGGGTGGAGGCTGCAGTGAGCTGAGATTGCACCACTGCACTCCAGCCTGGGTAACAGAGTGAGACTCTGTCAAAAAAAAAAAAAAAAAGATGTAGGGGTGTGTCCACCCAGGAGAAAGTGATTAGGAGGCTTACCCCCTGCCTCATTGCCTGTGGTCACCTGGCTTCCTTGAAAATAATGTAATCAGCATCTTTGTGTATGTGTATTTTTAATGTTATCAGGCTTAGAGAAATGCAACCAAACCAAGCACATATTTATTTTAAAATTCTATTAAAAACTAGGTATTTAAATTGATTTTAAGAAGCTTGTTAAGGAAATCAGCCTGGCTAAGGAAAATTAGTACTGCATTTTAAGAGTTAAGCAGGTCTACTACTCCGGGGCAGCTCTGCTTAGTGTCAGAGCCACCCTCCCTCAAGAACTTTGTTGAAGAATGTTGAGCAAACTTTTTGGAAGCCTTCTGTTTGCAACATGACTTAAACAGCAGTTATGATCATTGGGATTAATAATGTGGTATCTGGAGCAGGTAACCTGGAATTATTAATATTATCTCTCTGTCATCTTTTTCTTTTCTTTTTTTGGGGGCAGGGGACAGGATGTTTCTCTGTGCCCCAGACTAGAGTGCAGTGATGTGATTATATCTCACTGCAACCTTGAACTTCTGGGCTCAAGTGATCCTCCTGCCTCAGCGTCAAGAGTAGCTGGGACTATAGGCATGTGCCACTACACCCAGCTAATTTTTTAACTTTTTGTAGAGATGGGGTCTGCTGTGCTGCCCAGGCTGGTCTCAAATTCCTGAGTTCAAGTGAGCCTCCCACGTTGGCCTCCCAGAGTGCTGAAATTACAGGCACGAACCTTTGTGTCCAGTCTTGTCATTGTTTTCCTTTTTCTTTCTCTTTTGCCTTTAGACATGGTGTGGGGGTCTCACTATGTTGCCCAGGCTGGACCCTCAAAACTTCCGGGCTTAAGCGATCCTCCCAACTTACCCCTGAGTAGCTGGGACCATTGGCACGGCCACCATGCCCAGCTCTCTGCTATCTTTCCCTAGAGAGAGCATGTCTTGAGCCACAGCTTGCCATCTAAGTTTCTGGGACTTGAGAATACAGGAGAGAGCAGTATGTATTTCTCAATGTCCAGAGGGAAATCACAAATTTTAGTTGTATGGTAAATGCTGAAGTATTTAATGCAATAAAGTCCTTCCCCATCAGAAGCTGTGCACACCCATGGCGGGGCTAAGTTTCTGCTGAGGAGTAATAGTGAAAACAGCTCTCCTATTCAGGGTAGGAACACAAAACCACCTTCATGTCTCCCCGTGTCTTTTGAGAGGAAGCACGATGGTTCCGAAACGCCCTTCATTTCACCCTCACACGCAAAATGACCACTTACTGTTTGAGAGGGTGGCTCACCTCATTGTCCTGGTGATTAATCTCGCTGAGGTTCGACTGTTGCAACAGGACCGTCAGGAGCCTGTAAGGAAAAACAGGAGAAATGACTCAAAAGAGCAGCAGCTGTGGTGCCCTTGGAATCAGTATAAAAACATGACATTAGAAAAAGCGTCAGTTGAAAGGCTCCAAATGAAGATGAGGGTGCTTTCTGTTTCCCTGGAAACAGAAAAGAAGCAAGAGTGGATGGTTAGAAGACACCTGTGAGGAGGACCGCTGTGTGCCTCTCCCACCCTCTCTCCATCTCGGCACTCCTGTGGGGTACAGGGGTTGGAGAGGCTTCAGGCTCATCATGTTCACCAGGCCTATGTCACCTAGGCATGTGCTTTAAGAACCAAATTCATCTAGCATTTCTTCTCTTTTTTTTTTTTTTTTTTTTGAGACGGAGTCTCCCTCTGTGGCCCACGCTGGGGTGCAGTGGCACAATCTCGGCTCACTGCAACCTCCGCCTCCTGGGTTCAAGCAATTCTCCTGCCTCAGCCAGCTGAGTAGCTGGAACTATAGGTGCGCGCCACCACGCCCGGCTAGTTTTTTTTGTATTTTTAGTAGAGACGGGGTTTTATCATATTGGCCAGGATGATTTTGAACTCCCAACCTCATGATCTGCCCGCCTAGGCCTCCCGAAGTGCTGGGATTACAAGTGTTAGCCACCGCGCCTGGCCCTAGCACTTATTCTTTATTCACTTTGCAAAAACTTACAGAGTGCTTTCAGACTGCTTTGCTCCTAGGTGCACATCATGCCTTTTCAATGCATAGATTATACCAAGAGGTTGTCAGCACTTGCAAGCTTGCTCATTCTTTGTAAAATACACACATGTCCAAGCACAAGATGACAGAAATCAGGGTAAAACAGCTATCAATGATTCTCAAATTCAAGCTCTTACCTGACGTGGATCCCTTGCTCAGTTGACTAAGGTCAGTGCTCCATCTAGGAGAGGGGACAGCCAAGCATAGAGGAGAGGGCCCGGGCCCTGCAGCAGACTGCTTGGGTTCACGTCCCAGCCCTGCCGCTATGAGCTCTGTGATCTCAGGCAAGTTACTCACCTTCTCCCTGCCTAAACTTCCTCATCTGTGTGATGGGGTGGTAAAAACTACCTATCACACAGCTCAGTGTGAGGAGATGATTTAACATGAATACAACATAGAGAGCACGTTTGGAACACGCTGTTATTTCTAGAGCACTTGAGAACCCTGCTCCATTTCAGAATTGCCTGGAGAGATTTCTTTTTTTTTTTTTTTTAAACTACAAATACCTGGACTCTGTATTCAGGGTTTCTAACTCAGTAGGTCTGGAGAGAAGCCCAGCTTCTACAGTTTTAAAAAGCTATTCAGGAAATTCTGGTAAACAGCCAGGTTTAGAAACAATTGAGAAAGGTGCTGAAGGAATTAATCAATGGATACTCATCAAGATGATAAAGAATAGTGCATGGGCAGTCAGTGGAGGAAATTCAGAAATGCTTTTGAAAGAATTATTTGTAAAATGAAATTGTTTAGTCTCTTCTCCAATCAAATCTTCACTGTCTCTCAGCTTGGAAGCCATCTAAAGCCTGAAGTATTAAACTGTTCCTTACGATAGAAGGAAAGAAAGATCCATTAATCATATTGCCTTGGTAGTAAATGTAATACTCAAAGAGCTTACATAGGGACAGACTTCTGGTTATTTGCAGTGGAGGTGAAATAGCCAAGAAGCCTGTGGTTTCAATCTGGTTTCATTACAGTCTTTTGGGGAGCCAGGATAATGCTGAGATTTAATTCTAATCTCACTACTGCACGATCTGAGTTTCTGTATCCTCATGTATGTCAACGTGGTGGTGTTAAGGATCAAGTGATCCAACAGGCATAAAGACCCTTGGTCACAGACTCTAAAGGGACAACGGACATCTCTTTTATGCTCTCTGACTTCTAGATGTAGCTCTGTCTGGTAGGAAGACATATAAAAATAATTGCATTTTGGGTCATACAATTTTTATCTTTGCAATTACTTCACCACTGGGTATGTTTTCCTGTGGCTGCTCTGTGAGTGGGGGCAGGGTTTAACTGGTGACTGTGCCTCTCCTTTCTGTCTTCTCTCTCATTATTGGCCATTGTTTACTCTCTAGGGCCTGTTTGGTCTGAGGGGCTGGGGAAGGAGGGGAGGGCAAGGCAGGAGGTCAGCTGTGGTCCAGTGCGGTTATCCTCACTTAGCCCTGAGCAGACAGAGATTATCTGTGGCCAGACAGGATCTTCTGGGGCTCTGACCAGATTAGTATGGGGGTAGTAAGAACAAGACCTCTTGTCACATCCTGGGTGACCTCCCAAGGTTGTGGGATGAACCCTGTGCCTAGATATTTTTCTATTTGCCCTTCAAAGCCATTTTCTTCTCTGCACTGCCCTGCTCTGAGGCTGACCTCTAAGGACCGCATCAACCAGGCTCCCCTGACCTTGGCTTCCTATTGGGTTTGGCTCGTCGGGGAACTGGCAAGAGGAGGGAGGGAAGCCAGCTCCCTTTCTGGCAATAATTGTATTTCTCTACCAAAGGCCTCAGCTCTTGCCAGGTGGCCCCTCTCCTACATCTAAGCTACCACTGCAGCTCTCAGAAGGTTCCAGTAACAGCTCCTTTCTTGCCCCTTTAGGTCTAGAGAGTGATAACATTTTCCTACTCTTTTGGGGAAAATGAGAGTGGGGTCGGGGGTGGTTATAGCATCATCCATCATCTCTTGTTGGTCAATTTTTTTTTTTTTTTTGAGACAGGGTCTCGCTGTGTCACCCAGGCTGGAGTGCAGTGGCAGAATCACAGTTCACTGCAACCTGGCTTTCCTAGGCTGAAGCGACCCATCCTCCTGCCTCAGCCTTCAGAGTAGTTGGGACTATAGGTGTGCACCAACACAGCCGACTGTTTTTTGTGTGTTTTTAGTAGAGACGGGGTTTCACCATGTTGCCCAGGATGGTCTCAAACTCCTGGACTCAAAACGATCCTCAGCCTCCCAAAGTGCTGGGATTATAGGCGTGAGTCACCACATCCAGCCTTGTTGACCAAGTTTAAATAGTCTTTCCCTAGACATTCTCCAGTTGCCACCCTTTAGTTCCCATGTCTTCTCTGTCATGGCTCTGACTGATACATGCTGATCTATGTGGCCAATTCCATTTAATTGTGAAGTCTCTGGAACCCACTGATCTTCAAAGCTGGACACAAATGGACAGATTGAGGCCCTCTCCTGCATTCTTGCCCTCACTCTGGCTCTGGCTCTTTCTCACATATTGTGAGAACAAAGAACCTGAGGCCCTTCCTGGCTTGCCAAGACCACCATGCAGTACCTCAGTGATCCAGTCTGAACCAGAAACCAGGTGTCCCATTGCCAGCCTGGAGCTTCCTTGCTGTTCTGTGGTATGAGGTCACCTGTGAGATACTTGTCCAGCATCTAGATGACTTGCAGCCCTTTGTTGTGCTTCATCTGAGCTCTCATTTTTTGTCACCGTGGCCTAGGAGTAGTCCTTCCACACCTCCATCAGCACCAGTTCAGACTCCCACCTGTCCTCAGATCTCCAAGGCAGCAACAGAAGACCCACCTCATCTCAAGTGCCAGGACAGCAGCCCCAGACAGGCAGTGTGTGAGTCATAAGAGCATTGAGGCTGGGGCCAGACTGCCACTGTTAGAATCCCTGCTCCATACCAACCAGCCAGTGACCCTGGGCAAGCTCCTAGTGCCTACCTTTTCTTATCCATAAAATGCAGAGAATAACACCTACTTCCTCAAAATCTGTTGTGACATTGAGTCCAGGCACACAAAGCACTTGGAATATCCCTTAGATGCCATAATAAAGTTCTCTATGGCTAGGTGCAGTGGCTCATGCCTGGAACCCCAGCACTTTGGGAGGCCAAGGTGGGCAGATCACCTGTAGTCAGGAGTTCAAGACCATACTGGCTAACATGGTGAAATCCCATCTCTAATAAAAATAGAAAAATGAGCCAGGCATGATGGTGGGTGCCTGTAATCCCAGTTACTAGGGAGGCTGAGGCTGGAGAAGCACTTCAATCTGTGAGGCGGAGGTTGTAGTGAGCTGAGATGGTGCCACTGCACTCTAGCCTGGGCAACAGAGCAAGAGTCCATCTCAAAAAAAAAAAAAAAAGTTCTGTATAATGATAATTTTTTTAAAGCTCCTACCTTCTATTTTCTGGGTCTCCACTGATCACCATTAAGTGAATGGGTCTCAGAGAAGGATCAGCTAGAAGCATCCCGGGGACAGCTCATCCCTGTGAGCTTTCCTGTTTGGCGGGCTCCTCCGGCTGCTCCCAGCCCTGGAGCTGCCCAGCCCAGTGACAGGTGGGAAAAAATGGTCCCCCAACCAGCTGTCTCCTCTTCCTGTCCCTGGAGCTGCCTGTATGAGAGCGTGCTGCAGTGAGACATCCACCACAGGTCAGAACACACCACCTGGTAACTAGAGAACAGGACCCCAAGAAAATGATTTTCTTCCTTCCTTGGGCTGCAGTCAAGAGTGATAAACAGAAGCAGAGTGGCTGGCACTTTGACAGGGAGGGAAAAAAAGTCTGCCAGTAGCCATGGAGACCATGAAAAAGACCTTCAGAGAGCCCCGTGGCTGCTTTCAGAGAAAATTGCTGCTTGCCTTCCAACACTAGCATGTGCAGCGTTGTACAAACACAACCCTGTTCTCTTTGGAGCTTTATTTTAATGATCATGCCCCCTCTTTCACACCAGCGCCCTCTGAATGTCCCAACCAAGGAAGCAAGAAAAGCTGTGGGGAGCCAAAAGGGAGAAAACCTGAACCTGCTGAGAAGCACAGGGTTCAAAGTAGGAAGGGGAATCGTGAGAGGAAAGCTGTGCTTCTTTGCTTTTGTAAACCCGATGTGCCTTCATGTTCATAATTATAAATCACTTACCCCTGCATCAGCCTCCATCCCCACTGAACGAGTGTTTAGCTAAGGACGCTGATTCAAACTGATGGGTTTGCTCAGGAGTCGTTTCCATCCGAGCGCCAAAATCCCTCTGGAGGCAAAGGACTAACTGAAGCACCCCTCGGCTTGTTTAT